AACGGCCAGCATCCCTCTGACCCACTAGAGCAACTATATTTGTCCAGCTGTTTTATAAGGGTAAGGCTGAAGGGAGCAGCAGGCAGTGTTTTCAGTGAAAGACCTTAGCCACCATCAAGGAATAAGACGTATACATGGATCTGGCTTAACTCAGGAAGCTTTGTAAGATGCAACACTTAATTCAGGCTTTTCACTGCCAGACACAGTACGGCAAAGTTTCGACTTGCATGCTAAGTTTTCCTTTCTCTGTCTAGTAAAGCTGCTTTGTTATGGTGTCATGGAGGTTTCTGCCTGGAGAAATGTTGTTCATATCAGGCAAAAAGCATGCAATTAGTAATAAATACTGACTCAAGTTGCCTTATTTGACTCAGGAAACTAGCCTTTAATAAAAATGACTCTTTTTTTTTTTTTTACAAATCTGTAGAGACTTCAGATTTGGATACACTTGCATCTAGCTGAGAGATGAGGGAAATATGCGTGTAATACATTTTATTCTTATGCAATTAGTCTCATTCAGAATGCTTCACAACGAGAAACAGCAATGTTACTTTATGTTCTCTTTCTAGCATGTATTATTAAATTTCTATATTAAAATAGTCTTCTGACCAAGCATTTTAGAAAAAGTAAACATTCTAATACAAGCTTCCAATCAAGCTAATTTAGAAAAAGTATGGTAGTGAACCTGTATAATATACTGTAAAACAAGTCAGTTGGTTACTTCCATTTATTGAGGCCCTTCCTTATTCCCAAAAAGAACTGTTTTAAGATGTTTACTTCCCACACTAGATTTCTACAAAAAGGAAGTAGTTTAATTGTTTATTCAGGGCATCAACCTTTAGGAAACTGATGTAACTATCACACTGAGCTTTAAGATACAGGGAGAATACTAATATTGTTCAAATTCTTGCTCAGTATACATAATTCAAAATAATTAAATTGAAGAACAATCTATAATCATAAGGAGAACACTGACTCTCGAAGTTCTTCCTCACCTTCTGAATTTTACTTCATGTTCCTAGCACAGTCCTGGTTTGCTTATCCCACTTTGTAAGTCTTCCTACAAAACATGATAGCTACAGCCTTTAAACCTATGAAAGTTTATGTACTTTCAAAAGTTACTCACTGATCTTTAGAAGACAAATGCAATGAGTGAGTTTATGCAATAGATCCAGTCCTAATTTTTATTATTTCTACAAATCCACACCTGGAACATAAAGAAGTATTTGATTTTTAATTGTAAAATAATTAAGCTCTAATTTACAATAAGAGAACAAAAGTAAATTAAGTTCAAAATTCCAACAGATCCTTAAATGACTGTTTTGCAGAAAGGTATTAGAGGGCTCTGTCCAGTGGATTATTTTATTTATCGGAACAGTCTCATTTATAGGTCAGAATACAAGTGTACTTAAAATAAGGAAATTTTAAATTATTGCGCATTCTAACTAGCACCTTAATATATGTTCTGCAACACAGCAACAGAGCAAATTAAGGATTTAGACGTAGCTTAAGAAAATCTTAAACTATGGTGAGAGAGGCCCTGCACTTGATTTCAAATAAATTGTTTATTTCCTTTTTCACACAAATTAAGAAAATGAAAATATGGATTTTTTTTTAAACTAACATATAAATAAAAAATAAGTAATTTCAATAATTAAAAAATGCAACCCTAAGTACCAAATTCCAGGCCAAAAAAAATTACACCCATGAAGAAAAGATTTTATTGGAAATGAGTTTAGTATGCATAGCATAACTGCATTCAACAACAAAAATGTGTGGCTGGTAGGTTTGCATATATTCCTGCTTCAATTACTGCACTGGTTGGCCTGTTAGATTCATTGCACAAAAAATATTCTGCAGACCTTTAGAATAGTGTTATTTTTGTATGTGCTTCTATGTATGCAGACAAGTTCCCATCTCTTCCCATTAAAACAAATGGTTGACTTTATTGTGAGAAGTATCCTTATGTATACATTTCTTACAAGAACGACAGAAATTCCAACTCAAGCAATGCCTCATTAAAAAATATTAAGAGCATGGAAGTTCTGATAAAAAGATGAGAATGTACATGTTCTGTGAATTCATCTCATTTTTTTCCTATGAAAATAAGGGGTAAAGAGAACCTACAATATGCTTATGTAAGTCATTGCAAATTTGGTTAATGTGGGTTGAACCTGCACTGCTCTCATTGTAGAATCAGGACAACCTTGAATACTCTTTTATGGTATGAAGATATATCATATATTTAACCTTTCCTTAGCTAATCAATGGAAAACAGTATAAAACATATCCTGTGCATCACAGAAAAGTCTGATTTTTGTCCAGGGAACACAAGTAACGCTGAGATTTTGTCATGGTTAATTTTAGTAAAAGTCATGGGCAATAACCAAAAATCCACGGAAGCTGTGACCTGTCTGTGACTTTTGCTACTGTGGCTCCATGATTTCCTCTGCCACCGCGGTGGCTGGGAGCTATGGGGTTCCCCTTCTGCCCAGGGCAGCTGGAAGCTAGGAAGAGGGGGCGCATCCCTCCACCCATGGTGCCTGGGATCTGCAGGGTGACCATATTTCCCAAAGAGAAAACGGGACATGCCCAGCCATTCGCCCAAGGCTGTCGCCCATCCCTGGAACCCTGAGGAGGGCCCCCTTAGGAGCCTGTCACCTGTCGCTGGAATCCTGCCAGGGCCCCACTGGCTACCAGCTAAAGTCCCACAGCCCCTGGGCCTGAAGCAGAGAATGTCACCGAGGTCTCAGATTCCGATTCGTGACTTCCCTGACATAAACATGGCCTTAAACCTAAGCACTGGACTATTTCAAAAAAATTATTTAGCAGAACATGCACTGGATGAATCCTTAATATCAAACATAACATCAGACACCAGAATTAATGTCCATTGGATCAGTGCGATACTATTAGGCATTAAACATTAATAATATTTTAAAGAGCCTTACAATTTTAGGCCTGTATTGCAGCCACCTGATGAACTAAACTTGACAGGATCATAAAGATTTTAAAACCTGTACATTACCATAAATTAGATTTTGGGACAAAGCCACATCCACAAAATGTGCTCAACACTTTCTGAAACAGGCAGGATGTTCACATCTATGAAAACTGGATTCAATCTTTAACTGCCCTAACAATTTATCAAGTTCTGCTACCTGTCATCTTCCAATGTCTTAATGCAAACTGAGTTATTAGGCTAAAATACAGTTTACTGTACTTACTGAAGTTTATTACAGTGTTTCAGAATCAATTAGAATTTTTAGTTGTTAGATTTTACACAACATTCATTTAACATGTATTTAAATAAGTTAATTTATTGGTTGTTTTATTCAGAGAAAATATTAAAGGGGCACTCAACTTAAGTTCTAGTGTTCAAAAGATAAAGTTTCAAGTACCACTCCTGTCCCTGCATATTTTGATGGTTTTACAGCCACATTAATTGTTTTTCTCTCTGTGTATGTTGTGTGAAAGACCTACAAAAGAGGAGAAACTATAATTAAACTGAAACTAACTACACAGAAAGGAAGGTTAGACAAAGTAAACTAACTGGAGAAGTAGCAAAAACAAAAAAAAAATGCTCTAAACTTTCCCTTACATTAATATGAAGTGTTATCAGTAAAAAGAGTAGGCAAATAATTTCCAGAAAATGAGGTTTTTTTAGTTCATAATGCCCCTTTAAATTTGTGCTTCTGTTAAAAGATAAAACAAAACTCTTCTCTTGGGAATACTAAAAATAAACGGGTATACAAACTATATAGCCCCCTAGCAGAATTGACTATATTTGGTTATAAGTTTAATACTTTTCACCATATAAGGAGAAAAAAAACTTTAAAAACATCTTAATATTCCAAAGAAAGGAAGAAGAAAATGTCTGATGGCTAAGTGCAGACTGATTCAGAAAATATCAACTCAAATGGGAGAGGAAGGGAAGGGGAAGGTCATCCATCACTTCCAACTGCATGAAGAACAACATGCCCAGCTACAAGAAGAACAGGAGGACTTGTGGCACCTTTGAGACTAACAAATTTATTAGAGCATAAGCTTTCG